CTATTCTCTCTCTCAGCTTCCTTTTATTTGGTCCTCCTCACACGTGCTCCTGTTAATTCTCCCAACCATTATGCTTACTTCACACTGCCATCTAGGAAGCAACCATCTAGGAAGTTTTATAACTACCATCTAGGAAGCAACAATGAAACTGCCCAGTGACTCGTAACTTCTTCCTGTTGCTTCCCAGCAAAGCTATGAAGTCATAAAAACACTGAAGCTCTTGGGAAGGCAACATCAGTTTATACTCAGCTCATGTTTTAAAAGTTTACATGTTCTATATCATACACAGTTTTACAATACACGCATCCCTCAGGTGAAAAAGCTTCTCATTTGCCACTAGATGAAGAGATTTATTTATTTATTTTTAATAAATGATGAAATCTTATGTTTTGTCAGGGTACTGCCCAAAGCACACAACTCCAGAATTCTGCTGTTTTCAACAAGCAAGCAGCTTTTTGTAAAATAGAGGAAAATGATTTTACAGTTTTCAACTTTGTCTCGATGCAGACTTCCCTTTTGTGAAAAAAAATGAGAGGAGAAGGTATGAAGGAACACACTTAGAGAACAGTCCTAGGTCAGCGTCCTACTCACAGGGCCAATGGATACTCTAGGAGGGTGTCCATCTGTTTTTGACCAGAAACTCCTTTCAGACTCTGAAAACAACTCTCACTAAAAGTTCCATTGAAAACAATTACCCACAAAAAGTTAGTTTTGATAAATTGATTTATTCCAGTAAGGTGCCATTTAGTCAAAAAAGAGCCCTCAACCTGCTCTCCTTGCACATTTTAGAATGTTTCCCTGTTATCATTCACTTTTCATCTTAAAGCTACCTAACAAAAGAGAGATGCACATTGCAGCATGGCAAAAAGGTTTACACTTACCATGCAAGATGCTAGGTTATCATACAAACCAAAACCTCAGGAAAACAGGAAACTTGTTTAATCTGGTTCATTTCAAATGTTACCATCCAATTACAGCGACTTGTAAATAAGTTTGTTCCCTAATTCCTACCCCCTCCCCCAAAGTTGAAATCAGAGAATTGAAAGTTTTCCCACGATCCATTCTACCTCCTCAGTTCCAGAGTGGATGCCTATTTGTCCAAAATGTTTAGTACAGGGGTTGGCAACCTGCAGCCCACAGGCTAGATCTGACCAGTGTATAGACTGGATCCAGCTTCCAGCTGCTCAAGAACTCAGCTGCATACTCCAGCCACAGCAGCAACAAAGGCATCCCCAGGGTCCTACTGCCTGTCCTGTTCAGTGTGTTCTCTCTGCTGCAGCATCCCCAGGGTACTAGCACCTGTCTTTTTCTAGCTATTACCTGCACGCCATCCACTGAGCACAGAGGGGTGCTCAGGTGCATCCTAAAGTGAGGGCTGGGTCACAAGTAGCAGCCTATGGTGGCAAAAGGGTTGCCAGCCTCTAGTAGTTTAGTACATTGGCTCCTAGTGTGTTGAAGTTTTATGATGTTACAATAACAAAATGTTAATAATAGTAACACACACCTACAATTGTGTATATATTGACATATGCTAATATTTAACTTGGCTGTATAAATCTGATTTGACTGGCATGGTACAGTGAAAAGATTAAAATGGCATCCTGCCTGCAGCAGTGAATGTGGGCATATTGTGGCTTCAAATAATACAAAGTTGTTGGATACAGATAAAGGAAATGTAATGCACCTTTTTTCAAACACATACGTGTGTCTAGTTTCCCCATCATAAGACCAATTAAAAGATCCCTGGAAAGTAGTAACTTTCATTTAAAGAGTTAAAATGAAAGCTCTTTAGGGCAGTTTTTTTAGGTATACAATGCTTAACACATGAGGCCACTAGGTATCATCACAACAAATAGCTACAAAGCACAAGTAGATATGTGCATTGATAATTCTATACACACACATAACGGTTTTTTGCACACAAGGCTGCCTTATTATAAAAGTAAAAGTTGTCTTCCTCTAAGAGCTGATAAAGGACATACTTTCTTAAAACCACAGAGCTAGAAATAATCCAGTTTGTGTAAAAGCAGCAACCTAATTTCTCATTGTTCCCCATATATGAATGCAAACAGCAGATTGAGTTCTTACAGAGACAGGAAAGAGTAGAGATTTTGTATTGTGACATCCTCCCTGCAAGAAAGCTAACTGATGGAACCAGCTCAGCAATATAATCAGTAACGTCTGACCAAAAATAAAACAGAAACTAATCCCATCTCCACCAATGCAAAGACATAATGATGCAAATGGGTTAGCATAGATGGGCTATTAAATAAAGGAAAACCACACACCATTTAAGAGATAATATAGTTCCAACTGCCATTATGCCAGTCCAGAGAAGAAACATTTCAATAGCCATGTTTGACTGCAGTAGAAAGAGTATCTTGGACATGGGGGCTAGTCAGCTACAGCACACAGTAGCTTCCCCAAAAAGAGGTTACTGGAAAGAGCTTGATCTAAAGAAGGTCAAGGATCCTTTCTTAAAAGATTTAAATTTTCCCTGTTCCCACCAATCAAAGAGCCACAAGAATAAAATTAAGGATATGAAATCCGTGTGAAATCTTCCTAAAGAGTTCAAAGGGGGCTCTTGCAAGAGTTTTTAGAATAGAAACCCTTTAGGTTATGGTGAGATCAAACTAAGGTTAGCTCTGTATGATACCATTAAGAGTCTCTCCCTCTGAAACGGGATCCCAACAGGAACCCTCCAGGACAAGGGGATGCCACTGTAAGATACAAGACAAAGTGCAGTGACAATAGGGATAATCATTAAGAATACTGATGTGTGAATGTGCATCACAGGAATCATTCTGCAAATTATTTGCAAAGCACTAACAGATCTCAGGCAAAAAAGGAAAAACTACTTGTAGCTGCTGGAGTGGAGGATATGTAGTAACTTGTGGCACAAGGATGTGGAATAAGCCCCAGAAATTGCCTTTAGAGTACACTTTTCAGAAATGCCTCTCCAGCCACCCACGTTGCATGAGAAGCTTCAGCATTTTAGCATGTGAAAATAACTACATCAATCGGAGAGATACGAATTCATTAAACAACTGGGGAATACTTTAGGGAAAAGTCAGCAGACATAGAAGAGAGCTCACCTGAAGCCAAATGCACCCAGAAGATCACCGCAGAAAATCTGCAGGACTTTGGGGGATGATTTGAACTAGGATCTGGGAAGAAGAGCAGGATAGATATCTGCTACAGAAATATCAAAGTAGCGTTATAACCTTTAAAGGATCCGAAACCAATATATTAAGGTAAATGGAGGCATTTAATGTACTAGGCACAATCGATGAAGTTAAAGTTCAGAGATCCAGAAATAGATAGTTACTAAAGAATGAGTTAACAACACTCCAACCAACCAACCAACCCCACAAAGTCCAAAGAAACCCCAAACCCAAAAACCTACACCACTGCAGCTAAAAAAGTAGACATTGCAATAGATTACATGAAGTCTACTAGCAATTTTGCTAGGAATTTTAAAGGAAGCCAGCTTGGATACTGCAGTAATAGCAATAGTATAAAAATTTCATGCCAGAGGACTACCACTATCCAACGTGGAGGAAGAAAGAGAAAAAGCTGGAGTGACCTATAAAAGACTTTCTAGTAGTGAAGCTTCCAGATCTGACAATAACTATAAGGAGAGAAGGGCAAACAGGAATGCATTGGTTGACAGCAAGTTGGACCGCCAAGATGAAAGCTTGAATTGAAGAGAGAGGTGCCTCTCTCTATTCTTGCTCTAACCCAGGACTGAGCAGAACTAAATAGACACTTTACAGAGAATGAAGCAGACAGGAAATAAGCAGGTTCAGCTAACCTGCTTCATAAGAGCAACAATACAAAAGCTTTACTCTTTTCTTTCTCTTGTCTCCACCAAGCAGAACAGTTTACCACCACCTAGGTTAGCATAAAGGGACAGTAAAATTAAAAAAGAAAAATTCACCAAGAAGAACTTTACAATTTTCTGCCTTACACAAGCATAAAGAAATATTTCTTCTCACAACCTCTAATCCTACCTATTCCAAGTAGGGCATGCTGACACCTTAGTATCTAACTCAGTCGTTCTCAGCCTTTTTAGACTCGAGGCACCCCTCAATATATTCAAGGCACTCTTCGATAGAATTGAAGCTCCTTGGAAAATGCCAGCTCCAAGTTTTCACTCACTTTTTTTTTTTTTACTATAGAAAAATAAAGCAATTCTGCTGCAAGGAACTCAGAAAGACCACAATGGGTCAGAATGTTTTAACACTATGGATTCCTATTGGAAAACTCTGGGTTTCTATTGTGAATCATGTTTGCCCACCTAGCACTGCTAACACTGCATGGCAACCCACAGCACCTTGAAAAGATCTCAAGGATCCAGGATGCCACAGTACTGATCTAACTGTTTTGTAAAGGCCTGAGCTTTCATAGGCAACAACCTATTTTATCACATACTATGACATTTGTTCTTACGTATGTGAAGTCCCAATACTCCCATTGTGGCAACATGAGCAAATACTATGGGGATCACTAGTTACATAGTTCTTCATTTAAACTTCATGGGCACACTACCGTTGCTACTTAAAGAACTACTATGATAGCACCAATCTGGTAGGAAAAGTTTTTAAAAAAACCCTGAAAGACAAAAGGGTTTAGTATTTAAAATTTTGTGTTTGTAAAGTTGTTGCCAAGTATTTAACTCTGAACTTCCACAGGATTACTTTACCAGCAAGATCTGAAATAGACAAGCTTTAGAGTCAAAATGAAGGAATCAGGAAGTCAGCATTCACCAAACAATCCATTTCAACTTTCTGTTTTTGTTTAACTCAGCAAAAATAAAGGCATTTATGTGAATTGCTTATAAGGCTCTATTGTTCATTCTTTCAAAGGATTTTTCTGGGGGGTGGGAGGGAAGAGAGAGAGCTCAAAGGTGGGGAAAGGGATAAAGTCTAGTTGATAAGAAGAGAAACAAACATACAGCTTTAAATATGGCTGTCGTAATTTGAAACATGAAATCCTACCTCCCACTGCAAATGAGGCGGGATATTTCTGATCTGAAGTTTCCGACTCCTGTAGATGAATTAAAGAAAACAGTTAAAAACAAGTAAATACCAATAAGGCTACACACAGCAAACCCTCTATATAAAAGCACATTTACTAGCATGTTCGGCAGAATTAAATTTATAAGAGAACAACACAATGAAACAGAGAAACTATTTTAGTCCAGGTCCACAGAACTGTTACAGTAATTTACTTTACATTTGACAGCTGTGATGCTCATAAGAGCACTTTTCTTGAAAGCTATTTTAATAAGTTTAAGAACACTAATATATGCCTTTCCATATACAAAAGCATGTAGACAACGCCATAAACACATCTAAAATTACTATTTTCCCTTAAAAAAAAAGTTTTCACCAAGAACCTTCCCAACCAATACTTCAGTACTGGCTGCATTCTACAGCCCTTCCAAAAAAGAATATTGAATAAATACTTGTTTTGAGATTAAGCTGGCCATTATCTTACGAAGTCTGCCTAACTGATCATATTTTAACATCTGAATTCCTAGCATTCCTCCCTTCTGAAGACAAATTAATTAACTTAAATTCAATGGATTTTCACTTCAAAATTAATTGCAAATTTCAGGTCACTTATCATCTAGTAAACAAAATATTTACTTTGAAGTACTATAGTAGAGCCTCATAGTACTCTAATTGGATTCACAGCCAAATCTTTTGTTTCCTCCCTTCCCCCAAAGCAGAAAAACAAATAAATGCCAGAGATGCCACATCACCCTTGGGATGCTCAAGAATGTGTAGATTAACAGGGTTTCGCTATACTCAGGTAGTGTGTGTTGCATGTTGGAGGGGCCATTTAAGCTATTCTTGTAACAAATCATGAAAATGTGATCGTTTTGTACCATAAGAAGTGAACTTCAAGCTTTGGTTGGGGGGGGGGGGGGAAGAGGAGAGAAACAGGGAGACTGTGGGCCAACAAAGATACAGATGCTCCTTAGGAGACAAAGAAATATTCTCCCTCATAACAGACATTCAGACACATACTATTTCCCCTAAAAATGTGTCAAGTGTTCAAGGCTTTCTTTTAAGAGGTTTAAGGTTTGTTGTATTATACAAAAAAACCCACCTCAAATCTGCCAAATATATAGATTTGGGCAAATGGCCTCCATCAGAAGAGGCTATAATCATTACTAGGATATTCCTAATAGCATCACTGAAGGCATTCATTTTCTCTCTGAGTTGCTTTTAGAATATACTCCTCTCTCCTTACCTAGCTCCCACCCTTCCTTACCTCTACAGCAAATTTTTATACCTTGAAATACTCTTTAAAACAAATCTGTCTTTTGCCAAAACATATTGCATCCATAAAAACTGAGTGTCCAAAGGGAACGTTAATGTACAAACTTCTTACAATGGCTACATGATCTGTTAGCGAATGAAAGGGGCAATCAGGCTGACTCAAATAGAAGTTCTTATCAAAGAGTTTTGAAGATAAGTAGATGCCAACTAAAATAACAGAATACTTAATAGTGACCAATTTTATGAAACAGGCAGAAACATATTTGGCCATTTCTTCTGGTCATAAATTTGTAAAGACAAGATTAAGAATTGTTTCTTTTTACTGGGGCAGAGAGGTAGTTAGCCATGACAGCCTGATAAAGGCAGAGTAGAGATGCAGGGTGCTGCACTTGGGCAGTAGGAACCAGCAGCACACTTATACAATGGGGAACTCCTTACTCGAGAGCACGGAGGCAGAAAGGGATCTTGGAGTCATTATTGACTCCAAGATGAACATGGGCCGACAATGCGAGGTCATGGTTGGCAGGGCTAACCGGACCTTGTCGTGCATCCACAGGTGCATCTCGAGTAGAGCCAAGGAGGTGATCCTCCCCCTCTATGCGACGCTGGTCAGGCCACAGCTGGAGTATTGTGTCCAGTTCTGTGCGCCCCATTTCAAGAGGGATGTGGACAATATGGAGAGGGTCCAGAGGAGGGCCACCCGCATGATCCAGGGACAACAGGGCAGACTCTACAGTGAGAGACTGCGGGACCTGAACCTATTCAGCCTCCACAAGAGAAGGCTAAGGGGGGACCTGGTGACTGTCTATAGACTCACTAGGGGGGACCAGAAGGGTTTGGGGGAGACGCTGTTTCCCCTAGCGCCCGCTGGCATAACAAGGAGTAATGGGCACAAGCTGATGGAGAGGAGGTATAGATTGGACATCCGCAAAAACTACTTCACGGTTAGGGCGGCTAGGAGCTGGAACCAACTTCCAAGGGAAGTGGTGCTGGCCCCTACCCTGGGGGTCTTTAAGAAGAGGCTGGATGCCTACCTGGCTGGACTCGTTTGAGTCCCATTTCTCTTTTTGGGGTTTTTTGTTGTTCTCCCGCCCTGGCGGGGGGTCGGGCTAGAAGATCTACTAGGTCCCTTCCGACCCTTAATCTATGAATCTATGAATCTATGAATCTTTATAGACTAATGGAGATGCCTAAGCTTTTGTGAGCCCAAGCTCACTTCATTAGACAGCATGTGATGAAGCCAACTCAAGCTCACAAAAGCTTAAACATCTCCAATTTAGTTAGTCTATAAAAAGATGCATTTCTACCCTGGCTTCTGCAGGCTATCATGGCTAAGTGCCTCCCTCTGCCCCAGTAAAAAAGAACAATTAACAACAACTTAATCTTACCTTTACAAATTTATGAAACAAAACCTGGCAAGAACTTTGAGCAACTTTAACATAAAGGAATAATTTGAAGAAGTTTGTAACTTAAGGAAATATTCACAATTTCAGGTAACTACTATTAAAAGCTTTTCAGCTCTGTTCTGAAAAGCCTATGGTTGTGCTTCCATGTTATAATATCAAAACTTTCTGACAAAAAAGCCAACATTTTGGGCTGATACATTACATATATTATATAATATATTCTCATCTTTCATCTTCATTTTAGGACATTCTAGGGAAAACACTGGCAATCTTAATGCTGTTCAGTGTGTTTCAAACTGTGTAACAGTGTTAGCCTCGCACACTTTTAGATTCCAGTTAAAATCCATTAGCATTCTATAGCAAGTAGATATACTGCAAATGAACAGTAGTGACAGCATATATGGCATGCCCATGATAAGACTTAGTGGAGTTCAGGACAGGACAAACTAAGGAACAGTCAAATACTTATCCTGAGCAGTGCAAAACTAGACAGCATGAGCACAATTTCTTATTAAGAAAAGGGGTTTGGACACACAGTGCCCTCTTTACATGTCACCTAGATAAACTCCCTCCCCTCACATTCTTATTTCATTTCACCTCACAGCATACAAAAGATAGCTCTGTTTTTATGAATACATGACATGACATTCATAAACACATGACAAGTCTCAATTTTCTACTTCTTAGAGAGAAAAACTTGATGCGAGTTAAAGACTGGCCATAAAAACATTCATCACACATGTACCAAGAGTACCCCAAGTCTAAAATGGAGGAGGGGAAGCCAGATACCAAGATTCCCTACAATACTGGTGGCTGTAAGTAAGGACAAAGGGGATGGAACTGAGACTGTCATAAAAAAGCTAATGTACCTCCAAATTCACAGCAATCTTAAGACATCTATTAATATTCTGTGAAACTGAAAGCGCACTTTAAAATGAACATTGTGTTAAAAAAGAATGTTACAAATATATAAGCCATAATGGAACATTCAGTTGAGCATCTGTCCTCCAAATACATCTCAAGCTAGTTTTTTTAATGCAGATTGTAAGAAGGCGAGTAGAAAAGGGATCCAAAAAATCCGTTTCATATTACTATTGTATCATAATAATTGGAGATGGAACACATGCACAATACTCAGTGCCAACCCAAAGAGTGCTCATGCCACCAAGAGACCACAGATGCTTTCTACTCCAACACAGAAAATGAAAGTCTCCTGAGATATTTTCTAGTTCTATTCCTATGCAGTGAAAAAGACATTTCTAAAAAAGTCTTATGGAAAAAACCATAGGAAAAAGCAGAAAGATGGCAACGCATTATAATGCAATCTCTCAGAAGAACAAGAGATTATATTAACAGAAGCACATAGGAAAAAGTCTCATTCAGACTGGTACCCTGCACAGTAGTGTACTCATCATACCATACCTGCCACAACTCGTGTATGTTCTAG